ATAGCTGGAAAATTTTACTTAAATACATAACTCAGAAAAAAAATTCTAGAGTGATTTTTCTATCAGAAACCTATAAAATATGCCTCTGTCATGAATATAAGTATTATGTAAGAAGTATGAAAAGTTATAATCATTGTCAATTTCTAAATTTAATCTATAGTTTGCTTGAAAGTTCAACCAACGATTCTTAAGAGTTTTGCTTTTCCTGAAGTAGATACTATACCTCTAATGTAAAAGAAATGTGCAATATATGGTCAAGCATTTTGTTAATAATTTTAAAATTTTTATTGTTTTACTCAAGTTGTTTAGTTGACTTTGGACTAGAATGATTACAAAAATGTGTTTTGAAAAGTTATTTTTGCCTAAAAGAATCCTGCAGTATTCTTTTTGATTTTTACATTTTGTAGTATCATAAAGTAATGAATCTTTGCCCTTGCACTTGGAGCTGTTACTTACATTATTGGATTGACAGTTTCTTTTATGCAGTCACAAGCTTTGTGGCAAAAGGCCAAGAATCCCTATTTGAGTTCTGAGGAAACACTGTCATTATAGATCCAGCTGAGGTTACCAGAATAGTAAATATTGTCATAAGTCTCATTCCTAGTAGAATACTGACCTTGCTCTTGGATTATAAATAACATTTTTATTTAAAAGTTTTTTGAATTAAATACCTATGGGTTAGTTGCTGTGGTATTGAATAGTATAAATGGCCTAGCCTTAGAATTTTAGGATTGCCTGGAACTTACATGTATGAGTTATAAAATCACTGAAAATCATTTCATGATTGTGTACCTTCCCTTTTGCATTAGTTTGATTATCTGACTTCCGTCACTGTGCAAATGTGAAAGCCTTTATAAGTTAGTTAAGCATTCTTACAATATCTTAAAAATACTTTATAAAACTCTTATAATTTCTGTTAAGAGTTGTATCTGTAGAAGTTCTTTCATATGTACAGTTGACCTCATTATTTACGGATTCTGTATTGACGAATTCTCCTACTTGCTAAGATTTATCTGTAATCCTCCAATAATATTTACAGAGCTTTTATGATCATTTGTGGACATGCGCAGAGCAGTGAAAATTTTGGCCTAACACGCATCCCCATCGATCAAATAAGACCATGCTCTGCCTTCTTGTTTCAGTTCTCATTCTGTAAACAAGTGTCCTTTTTGACATCTATTTAGTGCCACTTTTTAAAAAGTCATTTTGTACTTTTCGTTAGTGATTTTGTTATTAGAAATGGCTCCGAAGCGTAGTGCTGAAATGCTGTCCACTGTTCCTAAGTGCAAGAAGGCTGTGATGTGCCTTACGGAGAAAAATATATGTGTTAAATGAGTTTCGTTCAGGCATGAGTCAGTGCTGTTGGCTGTGAACTCAATGTTAAAGAGTCAACAGTATATTAAAGTATCTCAAGCATAAAGTGTCTTTAAGCAGAAACCCGCATAAAACAAGATTATAGATTGATGGGTTGATGAAAATGTTGTGATAAGAGGCTCATGGGAGCCTAATCCTTTATTTCCCCTAAGAACAGTGATTCAGTGTTCACTAATTCAGTGTTCACATTGACTTTATAGAACACTACTGCCAGTGACGAGAATCTATCATACTTAATTTTCAAATTAAGTGATTATTAAAAATTAGCAAGTAGATCATTTTTAAAGTATGTGGTTGGTTGAGACCAGATGATTAATGAATTTGGGGTAGTTGAGAAGAGGAAGGAAATGATTCATGTGTATGCAGAAGCCCTGAAACCTAGAGAAACAGGAAGCATGTTTAGTTAGCATTGCTACCTGGCAAGATGAGGTTCTTGGATTTTTACTTAGACTTAGTGCGTGTCAAGGAAAACTAAATCATGTTCACAGTTCCCTTCTAACTAAAGGAATCTTTCATTCTCTAGGGACAGACCAGGAAAAATAAAGGGTCAGATGACTGAAAATACTTGCGTTTCTTACCTCTGAAGGATAGGGCATGATCTTAGTGGGGAGGAAAGCACCATTACTTCTAGATTGTTAATGACAATATAGAGTTGTATAAAGTAAGAAGCACTATTGCACAGTTAATTTCTTTGCCATCTTTGCACTGGATACACTCTGAGGTCATAGTACATATCCTTAAACACTGAAACACTAAAACTAATTTCCTCATTGGACCAGTATACTAAAGTTAGTGGTCTGCCTCTGGCCCGTGACACATAAAGACTTGTGGTAGACACTACTGTGCTGGAGAAACTCATGAAAAACGAATTGATCAGCTCATTCATTCATTTATACAGTGCTTATTTTAATCAAAAAGTACTTTCAAATGGTTAAGAAATAAAAAAATACATCCTGAAAGATCTAATAATGAAAAATAAATGAACCCTATCCTACTCTTCTCATCCCCATTTACTTCCCAAGAACATTCTCTTTTAACTCTTACATATTTCTTTTGTTATTTACCTCCATATTTTCAAACAGTATAGTTAATGGAGCTATTTCTTGATTTATTAATTTTAGAACATATTTACTTTCTGCCATTAATTTATACCTTCCCCTCAGTCCTGTAGCCTTTGAGTATAGTTCTAGCACTATCTTGTCTTTCAGCTCTGGTAAATTTTCTACTTTCTTTGATAATTTATTTTCCTCTATTTTCTCTCTCTTGAATTCTTTTTATTAGAAACTGGCACTCCTGGATCTTCTATGTCTCTTTTCTATCATGTTTTCCTTTTTTTTAAAATTGAGGTCACATTGTCCTATAACATTATGTAAATTTCAGGTGTACATCATTATATTTCGACTTCTTTATAGACTGCATTGTATTCACCACCAAAAGTCTAGTTGCATCCTTCTCTTTTTCTGAATGTATTATTTTCTATTTCCTTTGACCTCATTTTGTGTGTATGAGTGTGTGTATGTTTCTGTCTTTCCGTCTGTGTCCCTCTCTCCTTTGAGGCTTTCCCTGTATATCAGTATTTTGGTTGCCCATTCATAGTTGAGAGTGAATCACCAAAATACAGGTTGGGAGCTCTGTGCCTAATCAGGCATAGATTGGAGAACTTCACTTTAGGGCAAAATTATTCAACTTTTTTGCCTTATCACTCTCTGAAGGAGCATATTTAGACATTTTTCTCCTAATCACCCCCCCATGAAATTTTAACACCACAAGATTTACTGTCTGTCTGTTTATATACTGTGAAAGATTCATATATCAGGAAGGGTTTGGGGGATGTCATTTCTCTGGGCTAGTCAATGGCTACATCTGCTCTCCTATCTGTAATTGTTCTGTGGGAAAATGGGGTAGAGATAGGGGTTACCAACCATTTATGGCCCTTGACTTAGTCTCCCAGTTTACAGTTTTATATAATTCCTGCCCTCTACTTTAGCAGGCACTTATGAGTCCTGAGCCTTTTCATGTTTCAGTGGGGTAAATTAACTCCTCTTTGTACATGTCCTCCTTTGTGAGCACTATAATCCATATCTTCCTCTACCCTACTACTTGAGTTAACATTCCTCTTTCTGTTTTGTCTTCTAGAATTTTATTAAATTTGTAATTTTAATTTTCACTAAGGTTCCTCTCCAGTTCTATTTTTTGTAGTGATGTATCTGTTTTCAAATCTTTAACTGGTGTCCAGTTGGGACATCAGAACTGAAAGAGGATAAACATTTGTGCTCAGTTTTCCATCTTGTCTGGATGTCCTTAATAGGCTTTAAAAATAAGCATTTTCACATATCCCTAGTTTATATTTTAGTTATATTTTTCTCTATAAAATGCCTTTCATTCTTTTCCATTTAAGTACTCAACAATGATTTTATGCTCTGCTGAGAACTCAGTGTGACCTGTATTTGTTATTTTTATCCATTGTAATATATTGTGTTTATATTGTGTTGTTATTCAATAAAACTTGTACAGACAAGGGAACTCTTTTCCTGTTTGTATTCTAGGTGGTAGAGAATTATGCTGAGGTAGGTATCAGAGCTTGTGGAGATCTTAGAAAACTTTCTACAGCTGTATTCTCTAATGTAGTAGCTGTTAGCCACTTAAATTAATCTAATAAAATTTAAAATCCAATTCCTCTGTCATACTGGCCACATCTTAAGTGTTCAATAACTACATATGGCTAGTGACTACTGTATTGGACAGCACAGGTATAGAGCGTTCCCATCATTGCCCGAAGTTCTCTTAGACAGCACTGTCCTAGACAGTAGAAAGTGGGACACCATTCTGTAGCTTCTGAGAGATTGACTAGTTTTGTAAACCCCGACTTTGCAGGAGTTGCTTAGTCTAGTGAGTATAAAGAACTCTGCTGAATAGGTTTTAATGTAAAAGGGAAAGAACTGACATCTTAAAGATATCCTTGAAGCCTTCAGGAGAGAGTGCAAGTCACAGGACTAGCTGTTGTCTAAATAAATACAGCAGACAGCCGGAAAAGCACTATCATAATTGTGCAATGATGCTCACTTGTGTTGATTCAAGGAAAAACTTCAGAGAGTTGAGAAAGTCATAAAATGTAGTGTGCAGGTATAGTATTCTCATTGTCCTTCAGAACTTTACTAAAGAGTCTCTGCAAAGGCAACAAACTTATGTCGATAAGCTGTAGTTTTGAGTGGGTATATGGATAAGCTGTTACCCCATTTAAAATATTTTTTTCTGTGTTGTGCATTATTTGCTGTATGTTTAAATACAGAATATGCCTTAGAAATATAGAACTAAAAGGGGCGTTAGAAATTATCTAGTCCTATCCTTTCATTTTATAAGTGGAGGAAACTCATCCTTAAAGTAGGGAAATAATTTACCTGAGTGCATGCAGTCATTGGGGGCAGAGCCAGGACCAGAGCCAAAATGCTTTGAGTTCTTGTACAGAACATTTCTCGTGGTACTATGCTGATGACAAAGAAGGAACAACTGATTGATTGTCTTCTCTGAGAAGCTTTAATAAATCTAGGGGTGGCAACATAAACTTTATTTTAAGAGTATGTAATTCTGGGCACTATGAATTTCTTAATGTGTTTTCCTCTTTTTAGAACAACGATTTGTAATCTTTATACAATGCCACGAATTGGAGAGCCTGTCTGGCTTACAATGATGTCGGGGACTCCAGAGAAGAATCAACTTTGCCATCGTTTCATGAAGGAGTTCACTTTTCTAATGGAGAATGCTTCCAAAAATCAGTAATGGCTTACTCTATCTACCTCCCTCCTTTTCTCCCCCCCTCCCTCCCTCTCTATCTATCTGTGCTATCTTAGCTATTATTTAATCTAACTAAGTATCTAGATTGTGATCAAACCCAATTACAAAGGTGAAAGAATTAACCATTATCTTAGGTATTATTTCATATTATTAATAATCAAAACAGAATTCTAAAAGATAATTAAAAGATGGGACATGGAAGAAAGTTACAGAACCTGATGAATGAAAAACAGTAAAAATGTTTTAAATTATGTATTAAGTTAAAATTCCTGACATCTAATGAAACTTTCTGAGACTTCCTATATTTTATAAATTTTATCCACTTACAGTTTCATTCCATAGAAAAGAAGTGAAAAAAATAGAAGGAAGTGCCAGGATTCCAGAGATACATTTTTAATGTGGTATTTTATCATATTGTTCTTTTCTTACCATTCATCAAATTCCTAGAATCCAGATGAGTAATTCAGATGTTTTTATTCTCTTTGATAGTGACAAAGTTTGCCTAGTATTTTCCTTCACTTTTGCATTCAGTAATTTGGAAATGTATAGACCTGATTGATTCATTAATAAAATTTTGCAGGTTAAACACTGAAAAGAATCCATAGCTTTTCAAGTAGAGTGGCCTTTTTGTTTTGTAATTATGATCACAAATAGCTCTGTGTGAATGCTGTCTTTAAGGATTTTCTTTAACTCCTACCTAACCAAGAATGTATTAACTTTCATTTTCATCCTAGTGATATACGTATTGTTTCTTCTTTTGTCTCCTTTTTTATGCTTTTTAGCCACATGAGAATATACACTCTCTCTGCTTTATTCTGTTACTACATTTTACCTAAGGTTTCATGAAGGCAGATTGGAATGTGATGGCATGCATTTTATTTTCAGATTCTTGCCAGCACTCATTACTGCAGTTCTGACCAATCATCTTGCCTGGGTTCCAACAGTCATGCCAAATGGACAACCACCGATAAAAATATTTTTAGAAAAACATTCCTCTCAGAGTGTGGACATGTTGGCAAAGACTCATCCATATAACCCACTTTGGGCGCAACTGGGTAGGTAGTCTGAAAACCATTACATTATGCATTATACTTAGACTTTGGTGTAACTGTCTGGTATTATTTTATAGCAAAAACAAGAATAAAGAAAGAAAATGCTCTCTTTTACCTCCTTCAGTCTAAAACACCTTTTCTTTACTTGTCCTTTCGTGTCTGCTAAATTGTCTTATGCCTGACATCATTCCTTATAGACAGAGAACTGCAGCTGGAGCAAGAGGAACAGGATGATGGATAGTTTACTAGTAACTTCAGGATCTTCATGGTGTTTTGCATTAGGTACTTTGCCTAGATAGAATGAATCAATAAAGTCACCTGTGATAGGTAGAATAAATCTGGTTAGTGGGGAAACAGTCACTGAATTTTCTGTTGTTCCATTTTTGTTCGTTGAGTAGTTTTGGAAAATTTTCCCCTAATATTAGGCCCCACTAAATAAATGGGTAACAGAGGAGAGAGGGGATAGTTGATGAGTTGACAGTTATTAGGAAGAAAGTGTAGCATAATGCTTAAAAGCACAGGCCATAGAGTCAGGCAGACCATGGTTGAATCTCAGTTTCCTTATTTATGAAATGGGAATAATAATAGATAGCACATACTTCATAAATTGTAAAAGTTAAATGAGATAATATATGTAAAGTGCTTAGGACAGTGTCTGGTAAATGTAGCTGCTGCTACTCCTACTCTTACTCTATTGCTATTAGGTGATGAGGGAGGAATAAGATGAGAACATTTTAGTGACCTGGTAGAAACTTTCCTTAGGTTGTGCTGGTGAGTGAGCTTGCCAAGTAGATTGTCATGTGGCTTATCCATGTAACCTCCATCCCTCCCTCCCTTTCTCCCTCCTTTCCTTCTTTCTTCTTAATTGAGGAATAATTGACATACAACAAACACATAGATAAAGTGTACACTTTTGTAAGTTTTGATATATACTATGTCAAAATATATGTGCTTCTGAAACCATCATGAAAATCAAGATGGTGAACGTATTCATCACTTCCACAAGTTTCCTCGTGACCTTTTGTAAGCCCTCCCTTGATTCCTCCCTGCCATTCCTGTTCACCCCCTACCCAGGCAGTCGCTGGTCTGCTTTCTGTCACTGTAGATTGGTTCACATTTTCTAGAGTTTTATATAAATGGAATCACACAGTACATGCTTCTTTTGGTCTGACTTCTTTTGTTCAGTGTAATTATTTTGAGATTCACCTATGTCATATGTATTAATAATTCATTCCTTTTTAGTGATGAGTAGTAGTCCATTGTATGGAGATTAACATACCTTTTTTCAAATCAAGTAATTCAGTAGTATACTCTTTTTTTTTTTTTGAGGAAGATTAGCCCTGAGCTAACATCCATGCCCATCTTCCTCTACTTTACATGTGGGATACCTACCACAGCATGGCTTGCCAAGTGGGGCCATGTCTGCACCCGGGATCCGCCTGGCAAGACCCGGGCTGCCAAAGTGGAACATGCGCACTTAACCACTGCACCACCGGGTCGGCCTCAGTAGTATGCTTTTTTGATTTGGACATTTTAAATCTGTTTTCAATTCTACAATCATTTATTGAGTGCATAATATATCTAAGGCTCTGTGCAAAGAGTGTTACAGGGTATAAAGATGAATATCTAGTCCTTACCCTCAAGAAGTTGATAGTCTAATACTGTAGGTAATATGTATGTAGGCAATAATAGTTCAAAGCAGAACTATAAGGGAAATGAAAAGTTTAGTGAGTGTTTAATTAGGGAAGCTTACTTTTGCCCAAGGGAGGTTGCTGGCAGGGATACAGAGGGAATTGAAAGTACAGGCATACTTCATTTTATTGTGCTTTGCTTTATCGTGCTTCAAAGATACTGTGTTTTTTTACAAGACTCTCCACCAGCAGAAAGATTATGATTTGCTGAAGGTTCAGATGATGGTTAGCATTTTTGAGCAATAAAGAATTTTTTTAATGAATGTATATACATTGTTGTTTTAGACATAATGCTGTTACACACTTAATAGTCTACAGTATAGTATAAACATAGATTTTGTATGTGCTGGGAAACCAAAAAATTCATGTCACTTTATTGCAGTGATCTGGAACTGAACTCACAATATCTCCAAGGCATGCGTGTACACTGCATGAGTAAAGGAGTCTAGGTGTTAAAAGTTCTGAGCTTGTTCAGTGGTTCAGTTTAAGTAGTCTACTTTAAGTGGGACTTTGGGTGAATAAAGATGAAAAAGGGTAACTATAAGAAGATAAGCCCGGAAAAGTAAAGTGGAACCAGTCATGAAAGACTCACTTGCTGTGCCAAAGCAGGTTCAATTTATTTTGTAATTAGTGGGAACCTTGGGAGTAGTTTTGAACAGTGGCATAATGTTATTAGAGCCAGTATCTTAGCCAAAGGAGAAAATTTATCATAATACTATCTATAGCATATATTTATTTGACACCTGTTTATGTTTGTTCCTTTAAAAATTGTGAGGTTCTTTTAAAGTAAAAATAAAAGTTTTTAAATGTGTATACTGACAACTTGAAGAAAATTGAGTTAAATTAAAATTAATGACTGTATTCTCCATTTTTAAGTGTGTTTTGGCACCTGTTTCTTTGTTGATTTCATTTGAGCTATAGTGTAAATATACATTTATATTGACATTGAAAACTTCTAGATCCTCCTCCCCTCCTTTTTTTTTTTAATATAATGGCTGTTCATGTCTAGTATGAATACAAAAGTGAAAGTGAACCACATGGGTAAATATGTTGCCCTTTCTTCTCCTCTTAGTCAGCATAGGTCTCACTCTTCCTGCCTTTTATGGTCTATTCCTGAGTACCCAGCCCTCTAGGGAATGGAAGGGAAAATGAGCTTTTAAAATCTGAGAGCTAGTGTGGGGTCCTGGGTAGGGCAGCAACAGTTACGGTTCAGGGATATGATTTAAATCAAGGAAGGTTAAGTGTATAATGTGACTACTCTAGCTCTTCTCCATTCCACCACTACTCCCTTCCTCTCCTTGTACCACAGCAGATAATGTGCTTTCTCTTATCTGCATTGGAGGCAGTTACAGAATCCTTTTGCATATAGTACTTCAGGCAGTACTTCTCCATCTAGATGAAGTGCTCTGCGTGGAGCCTGGCACAGAGAACATTCTTGGTAAACGTGACCCTCACAACTGACTCTTTGCTTGTGGTTTCAGAACCACAGTAGCTGCTTGAGGAGGAAGCTAGAAAACCTCTTTAGTCACCTTTTTCTTTGGCTAAGACGATTCATCTCATCTTACTCTCCTGAATAGTCTCACCTATGAAAGAACAAAAGTAAAACCAGAAGTACCTCTCATACAATGAGAGTAGGTTTCTGATAATTGAAAATAAATAGCCTGCTTAGCTGCATGAGTAGAGGATATGTCCATTAACTAATTTTTCCATTGCAGGCGACTTGTATGGCGCTATTGGCTCTCCTGTACGATTAGCAAGGACTGTGGTAGTTGGCAAACGACAAGACATGGTCCAGAGGCTGCTTTATTTTCTTACTTATTTCATAAGATGCTCTGAACTTCAGGAAACCCATCTTTTAGAAAACGGAGAAGATGAAGCCATTGTTATGCCAGGCACAGTAATTACTACCACGTTAGAGAAAGGTGAAATAGAAGAATCTGAGTATGTGCTTATCACAATGCATAGAAACAAAAGCAGTTTACTCTTTAAAGAATCAGAAGAAACAAGGACTCCTAACTGTAACTGTAAATATTGTAGTCGTCCACTCCTTGGGCAAAATGTAGAGAATGTTTCACGACAAGAGAGAGAAGATATTCAAAATAGCTCTAAGGAGCTGCTAGGAATTTCAGATGAGTGCCGAATGATTTCTCCTTCTGACTGCCAAGAAGAAAATGCTGTTGATGTTAAACAGTATAGAGATAAATTAAGAACTTGCCTTGATACTAAGTTAGAGACAGTTGTTTGCACAGGATCTGCTCCTGTAGACAAATGTGCATTGTCTGAGTCAGGCTTAGAGCCAGCAGAGGAAACATGGCAGAGTGAGGAATTGCTGGATTCAGGTAATCACACAGGCAAAGTGTTGAGATCTACAGGAATGGTTGTGGAAAAAAAACCTCCAGATAAGCTTGTAACTGCTGCCTTTTCTTGTGAAGGAACCCAGACAAAGGTTACTTTCTTGATAGGGGATTCTATGTCACCTGATTCAGATACTGAAGTCCGGAGTCAGGCAGTAGTGGATCAGATTACCAGGCATCACACCAAGCCACTGAAGGAAGAAACAGGGGCTATTGATCAGCATCAAGAAAGTAAACAAACAAGTAAAGACCATTCTGGAGAGTCTGATATACTGAACATGGTTTCTGGAGAGCCCTGTGAACTTCCCTGTTGGAATCATTCAGACCCAGAAAGCATGAGCTTATTTGATGAATATTTTAATGATGATTCAATTGAAACCAGGACTATTGATGATATTCCAGTTAAAACAAGTACAGACAGTAAAGAACACTGCTGTATGTTAGAGTTTTCAAAGAGATTGTGTACAAAAAATAGCAAACAGAACAATGAATTTTGTAAATGTATAGAAACAGTTCACCAAGATTCATGTAAAACCTGCTTTCCTCAGCAAGACCAAAGAGATTCACTTTCCATTCTTGTCCCCCATGGGGATAAAGAGGGTTCAGAGAAAAAAATTGCTGTAGGAACTGAATGGGACATTCCAAGAAATGAAAGTTCAGATAGTGCCCTTGGGGATAGTGAAAGTGAAGATACAGGGCATGATATGACTAGACAAGTAAGCAGTTATTATGGAGGAGAACAAGAAGATTGGGCAGAAGAGGATGAGATACCTTTTCCTGGGTAAGTAGGAAGTTTTAACCTATAATAGGCTCTATATAAATATGTTCCATTCTTTTGTTTAGCTGGTCTCTGAAGGTTGGTAGTAGCTAATTTAAAAGAGATCACTGTCCTGGACAAATTCTGTTTTATTACTGTGTGCTCATAGGAAGGATTAAAGGCTAAGCCCCACAGGCATCCTAGAAAGACTTTGGAAAGGTGTTAGGGAAGCGTTTGTTGGTACGTAGGAGAATCCTTATTGCTTAAGAGTGTTCAAGCCCTTTAGGAATGAATAAGCCTGCAACTAGAGAGAGGTAATCACTGAGAAGGGAAATGATTAGAAATAGCCATTTGGCTGAGACTAAGAGGAAAACAGGGAATGTATACTTTAGGGCAAGTATACGAGGAGAAGAGTCATACTTGAGAAATGTTATTTACCAAGCTTTGGATTTGTGAGTTATTTAACTACTTGTTTTAGATAATGGTTTTCATAATGTGATTGTATCAAGAATGTGTTACATGTACAAGGGACAGTATTCCTAAAGTCTGTTATGAAATAATTATGCTTACCTCATTACAAATTTGTTCATTAGACCTTCTTTTCTGCATAAGAAAGAGTATTTTGTGGTCTAATTGACTACGTAAGGCTGCTTTTACTTAAGGAGGATTTTATTCTGATTTTATAGAAGATGATGGTACTGGAAATATGGACTAATAGAGTCCAAAAATATTTTTATTGGTAAAATATGTTTATTGCTAATTAGGTATGCCTTCTTTTGGGACCTTTATTCCAGGTCAAAGTTAATTGAAGTGAGTGCTGTTCAGCCCAACATCGCCAACTTTGGGAGGTCCCTGTTGGGTGGCTACTGCTCGTCTTATGTGCCTGACTTTGTTCTTCAAGGAATTGGGAGTGACGAGAGGCTCCGTCAGTGTCTGGTGTCAGATTTATCTCACGCTGTACAGGTGAGTACCTTCATTGCTCTTGAATTTATTTAGAACGAACTCTGTTAACCACTAGTATCCAGAATTGCCTTATATTGTGGTCACACTTCACTGTGTAACACAATCATTGTTCTCTGAATCCGTCACTTTATATATAAAGTATTATATACTTTATAAAGTATATACTATATAATACTTTATATATTTATTACATATATATACACATAAGGTATTATGTATAATACCTACATGTTTGTAGCTGTCACCATGAAAGCAAGTAGAGTGTTCCAGGAATCTAGCCAAGTGGAAATGTGAAATACAGAAAGTACTGTATGTATTCATAGATGTTCATCACTAGATTATGTATAATATCAAAAAAATGGCAAATGCTTAAATGTGCATGGAATTATTTTCTTAATTTCATCTTCAGATTGTTCATTGCTACTATATAGAAGTATAGTTGCTTTTTGTGTATTTATCTTATATCCTGCCACCTTGTTCAACTCTCTTATTTCTTGTAGGTTTTTGTGTGGATTCCGTAGGATTTTCTACATACAGTCTCTTGTCATCAGTGAAGAGACAGTTTTATATTTTCCTTTCCAATCCGGATGCCTTTCGTTTCTTTCTTGCCTGATTGTGTGGGCTAGAACCTTTAGTACAGTATTGCATAGAAGTGCTGATAGTAGATGTTCTTGTCTTTTTCTTGGTGTTAGGGGGGAAACATTGAGTCTTTCCTTATTAAGTATGAGGTTAGCTGAGGATTCTTAAAAATGCCCTTTCTAAGGTGGAGCAAGTTCCCTTCTATTCCTAGTTTTTTTGCCACCCCCACCCCCCTTTAAATCATGAAAGAGTGTAGGATTTTGTCAGATACTTTCTCTGTGTCTATTGAAATGATCATGTGATTTTTCTTCTTTAAACTGGTAATGTAGGGGCCAGCCCCGTGGCCGAGTGGTTAAGTTCGAGTGCTCTGCTTTGGCGGCCCAGGGTTCAGATCCTGGGTGCGGACATGGCACCTCTCATTAGGCCATGTTGAGGCAACATCCCACATGCCACAACTAGAAGGATCCACAACTGGAGTATACAACTGTGTACTTGGGGGATTTGGGGAGAAAAAAGCAGGAAAAAAAATAAAATGAATAAACCGGTAATGTGATAGATTACATTGATTGACTTTTTTTGGATGTTAAACCAACCCTTGTATTCCTAGGATAAAATCCCACTAGTCATGATATATAGTCCTTTTTGTATATTGCTGTATTTTATTTACTCATATTTTGTTGGAGGTTTTGGAGCCTGTATTCATGAGGAGTGTTAGTCTATAGTTTTCTTGTGATGTCTTTGTCTAGCTTTAATATCAGAATAATACTGGCCTCATAGAATGAATGGGAAGTATTCCCTCCTCTATTTTCTGGAAGAGTTTCTGGAAGATTGGTGTTATTTTTCCTCCAAATGTTTGATAGAATTCACCAGTGAAGCCGCCTGGGCTCTTTTTTTAAATTGCTAATTCAGTTTCTTGATCTAGATCTATTCTGATTTTCTATTTCTTCTTGAATCAATTTTGATAATTTTGTCTTTCTAGGAACTAGTCAGTTTCATTTAAATGATATAATTTGTTGGAATAAAGTTGTCCTTACTATACACTTATAATTCTTTTAATTTCTATAAAGTCATTGGTTATCTCCCCTTTCATTGCTGATTTTATAATCTGTGTGTTGTCCCTCCCCTCCCCCCACCCCCCAGGTGGGAAATTCTCCAAAGAAGAGTTCATTCATGGCTTGACTTCATCAGTAGATATTTTGGGCCCATATACATCAAAGATCAGATCAGCAAGCAATGGCACAAATAGGCCTGCTTTTTGTAAATAAAGTTTTAGTGCAACATGACCACACCCATTTATTTATGTGCTCTGTGACTCTTTTCCTGATTAAACAGCAGAGTTGTCATTGAGACAGACCCTATACAAACTAAAGCATAAAATGTGTTTTCTGTCTGGCTGTTCACAGAATAAGTTTGCTGATTCCTATTTTAGCTGATGGTTGTCAATTTTGTTGATCTTTTCAAGGAAACAACTTTTGTTTTCATTGATTTTCTCTATTTTTCTTTCTTTTATTTCATTGATTTCTATCCTCGTCTTTATTATTTCTTTCCGTCTGCTTGCTTTGGGATTAGTTTGCTCTTTTTCTAGTTTCTTAAGGTGACAGCTTAGGTTATTAATTTGAAATATTTTTTCTTTTGTAATATAGGCGTTTAAAGCTGTAAATTTTTCTCTAAGTACTACTCTAATGGAATCTCATAAATTCTGTTCTGTTGTGTTTTCATTTTCCTTGACTTCAGAATATTTTCTAATTTCCCTTGCCACTTCTTTGACCCATGGGTTATTTAGAAGTGTGAGGTTTAATTTGTAAATATTTGTGGAATTTTTAAATTTCCTTTTATTGTTGGTTTCTAAATTAGTTCTGTAGTGGTCAGAGAACATACTTAGTATGATTTCAATCCTTTTAAATTTATTAAGACTTGTATTATGGCCCAGCATATGGTCTGTCCTGGAAAATGTTCCATGTGTGCTTGAAAAGAATAGTTTGCTGTTGTTGAGTGGAGTGTTCTATAGATGTCACATCAAGTTGGTTGATAGTATTATTCAAGACTTCTATGTCATTGCTGATTTTCTATCTAGTTGTTTCATCAGTTACTGAGAGTGGAATATTGAAATCTCCAGTTGTTGAATTTTCTGTTTATCCCTTTGATTCCTTGTGTCATTTCAGTAATTTTTTACACAAACACTTCTCCTTCCCTCACTCCCCCCAAAAAAACGTTAAAAAGGAAATAGAGAAAGCCCACCAGGAAATCATGGGTGAGAAAATATGGCTCATTGAGCAAGCAGTCACTTAATTGTTAGCCAGAAACACTTAAACCTTTTGTGTCTGTAGAAAATTACCTAAAATTGTAAATCTTGGTGTTTTATTATATAGTGGAGAAATTATGGCAAATTTAGATAAAAACAAACATTGTAAAGAAAATCTCAGAACTTATTTTCTTTATATTTAAAAGCTATTTTGCTCAGCCTTTTAACACCAATCAGATAAATATTTACTGACATACTATGTTCTGGACATAGTGCTAATACTCCAAGGGATATATAGATGAAAAAGAAATAGTTTCTCACCTCAAGTCATTTATTCAGTAATGGAAAAAATAAGGCAAATATATGAATAAATGTAGTACAAGATGTAAAAAAATAAATGCCTGAGGAGGATACTGATAAGTAATTTAATGGTTCAGAGGAAAGAATTTATGTCAGTTGATGGTATTTGTCCTTCAGGGTGAAGGAACTGTTTCTGTTTTTTTCAATTCTGTCTTCCCAGTGCCTGACATAGTGCTCAGTATTTGTTAAATTACTTGGTTAGGAAATCCCATGTGGGTCTTTTTAATGTTCTCTGTGTCCTGCTATCTTTCGTTACTTCTGATCTTAGTCACTCAGTTTCTTTTCTTCTTCCATCTGTACCCATTACTTCACACAGTGTTCTTTGGTGTTCTCTCTGAAAGCTTGGCATTGAAAGGGGTTACTGTCTCCTCCTGTGTCCTTACTGTGTGCCAGAGACTTAAATGTGATACCTCACTTAACCTTATAATAATCCTTTGAGGTACTTATTATTATCATCCCTGTATTTCAGATATGGCACAGAGAGACTTTTAAGTTACATAGATAGGGACTGGTAGAGCTAAAATCAGTCCTATCTGCCTATTCTTAAGCTATGCTGTTAAGCTTCTGTGCCGTACTCTCTCTCAAACAGATGAACAAAGGTTAAAACGGAGCAGCCCAGTGGCGCAGTGGTTAAGTTCGCACATTCTGCTTTGGGGGCCCAGGATTTGCTGGTTCAGATCCCAGGTGCGGACCTACGTACTGCTTATCAAGCCATGCTGTGGCAGGCGTCCCACAAATAAAATAGAGGAAGATAGGCATGGATGTTAGCTCAGGGCCAGTCTTACTTAGCAAAAAGAGGAGGATTGGTCAAGACTATTCCTGATTGTGGAGATGATGTGGGAGCAAAATGGCGGGGTGAGCTGACCCGGGATTCTCTCCCCTCCAAAATACAACAAAGGACTGGAAAAACTGAATTTCAGAGAATAAATCTAATGCCAGCATGTTAGAGACCTACAATACCAAGAAGGCGGAGATCATAAACCTTACTTACGGCCTCGGAGGCACTGGAACGGTAGGAGAGAACATCGCTCCCTCCCCTAGAGTCTGCGATTGCTGCTGGCCGGTTGGGAAGGAGCGGGGGAGGGGCCATGCGACCAGGGGATCCTCCAGGACTCCTGCCGCTGGTTCAGTGGAAACCGGCTGACGGGGGGAAAGCTTCTGTCTGCGGGGACCCCATAAACCCAGGGCTCGGGAGACCAGAGAACAGAACTGGTCTGAATCCAGACCTGCGTGTGAGAATAGCAGCCCCTCCCTCCCAACAAAGCCAGTGGGTGCAGCCATCTTGCCTGAAGGCGGAGAGCTCATAACACGCAGCTCTCGACCCCCATCTAGTGGCCACAGGCTGTAACTGCAACTGAATTCTACCACCATGCGAAAAAACCGCTCCTCTACCATCCAGCAATTTATAAAAGCCCCAGACCAGAAGGAAAACAATAAAAACATAGAATTAAGTCCTGAGGACTTGGAATTAGGTAAACTAAGTGATAATGGCTTCAGAGCAGCTATAATCAAAAAACTCAATGAGGTAGAGAGAAAGATAGAGAAACAAGCCGAGTTCTGGAGTTACTTCACAAAAGAGATGGAAATCATAAAGAAGAATCAAACAGAATTGCTAGAGATGAAAAACACAGTGGACCAGATGAAACAGAATACGGATTCCCTGAATGCCCATGTAGACACCATAGAAGAGCAAATTAACGTAATTGAAGATAGACAGGCTGAATGGCTCCAGACAGAGGAAGAAAGAGAACTAAGAATTAAAAAAAATGAGGAAAATCACTGAGAGATAATGGATTCAATGAGGAATAAGAACATAAGG